GTGTTACCAACATTTCCTATTTCTCAAGAAACTGACTTAACCCATCAGTCTCCTGTATCTTGGTGAGTGAATTCAATTCTGGACTGTTGGGTAAATGAGAAAACATGACCATTAGTGTGAAGTATCCGTTCATTAAGTCGTCATTTTCTGTGATGTGATTAGAAATGCCTGAAACATTTTTTTCAAGACTTCTGAAATATTTTAAACATTGCCTAAATTAGTAAAAAATTTCAGATGCTCAAAAGTGCATTTCGTAGATTTCATAGACATTAGGGCTGGAAGGGGTTTTGCAAGATCATTGGGTCCAGCCCCCTGCCGAAGGAGCAGGAAGTCAGCTGGGGTCAAATCACCTCAGCAAGATAAGTATCCAAGCATTTCTTAAAGGTATCCAGAGTAGGCGTTTGCACCACTTCTGAGGGGAGTCTATTCCAGACTCTGGAGACTCAGATGGTAAAGAAGTTTTTCCTTATGTCCAGTCTAAAACGGTCTTTCAGCAGTTTGTGATTTATTTTGTTTTGGGTGAATAAATTAGTCACAGTTTGGTTCTTTTCTTAGCTGCGATTGCTATATGTTATAGACTACTGGACCTGTGTATTCCATATGCATTATGATGATATGCTGCTTTAAAGAGCGTGATTGATCCAGACTGCATCTATCCCTGTTCTGAGCAAGGCTGACCAGAGGCTGAGAGGGACAAATTGATTAGGGCCCACTTCCAACTGGATCATTTAAGAGGACTCCCCCCAAAAAAAGGAGAGGGTACATGGGGAGCAACAGCAAAGGAACAGTGAACAGTGAAACTGCAAAAGATAACAAGTATGGAGCCAACCCTACGAGGTTTTCTTTCCTTCTCATCAGGGTGAGGAAGAAGTTTGTGGGTTTTTGACTGTAGTTCTTTCTCTAAGAATAAATTTGGCTAAATAAAACTGAAAAAAACTAGGGAGTGGGTGCTTGTTGTTTATGTAGGCTGGAGATTGGGACAGCAGTCCACAATGTGCAGAAGATGGTTGTTTGACAACATACACGCATGTGTATGTGAATATAGATATAGATATAGATAGATAGATAGATAGATAGATAGATATACTGATAGATATTGTGTTACAGCCTTATCGTGTTATCACATTCTAGTTTTTCCACAGGGCACCTGTCTCAGTTCACTGTGATAGGTTGGGAAAGGAGCAGCTGTTCAATATTTATTCTCTTCTGAGTTTGGCACCAGGATCCTCTTCTATGCTCCTGGCACTGAATGGGGACTTTTATAACTATTTGGCAGCCACAATTAAGAAAATAGAAGAGTTTCACTATTTTGCTGAATTATCATTGTAACATATTGAGGTATCAAACTATTAGTGCCTCCATTTTACAGGCAAAGACTTGAGGTGTGCTGAAATCAAATGACATCTAATATCACATAGAAAATTTAAGGCAGACTCAGATAAAGACCCCAGGCCTCATAAGTTCCACTCCATGACTTAACCACCGGGGCAGTCCTTCTCCTCCAGTAGACTTCTGTCTTGTCTAATTGACTACCTTGTACAACTCCTGAAGTGAAAGAAGAAAGTATTTTGGATTCTTTTTTTCTGTGATCATTCATTCTGGTGCATAGTTTTTTCCCCCCCTAGTTTCACCCACATAGCTTTCATGGGGTCATTTAGTGCACTAGATGAGGTGTACCACCTTCCGGGATGGACATGTGTAGAATCCATGAATTCTGATGGTTTCATTGTTGTGGGGGCATAGTTTCTGAGGGCTATCTGGTAGCTAGTAGTGGGAAAAGGGAATATTTCTCTTAAGGTCTGGTCTTTTTTGAGTGTGGGCTGTAATTGTTTAATGATCTTTATTATTGATTCAAGTGTGGAACAGTAGGTGACAACCACGAATTTGTGGTCAGTGGATTTTTTTTTTTCTTGTGTTATAGTAAACTGCTGGAGTGTCCTTGCTGGGTAAAGGCAGTGTTCAATTCAGAGGAGGGTGTCTAAATATTCTTCTAAGAGATATACTAGTAATGGAGCACCTGACTATAGATTACAACTTTCTTGCTGTGTTTGGGATGATTGCTGGCTTTGGGGTCTATGAGTTTTTTGTACATAGTGTTTTATAGGGTGATATCCCAGACGTAGGTCATGGTATCTAGAAAGTTTATTAGTGAAGAAGTAAGTACTGCAGACAGAATTTGATTGAAGGGGTGTTTGTTAAACCTGTGGTAGAAGTCAATAAGCAAGTCCAGATGATCAGTTCCTATGATACACATATCATTTCTATCATCCTGGTATACTGCAATCTTGGTGGTGCAGTTTTCTAAAATTCCTCCTCCAGGTGGCTCAATAAGAGATTGACATATTGTGTGAGGGAGGGAGGGGAATCATTTGAAGGAGGTGTTGGCTATTGAAAGTGATGTTGTTGTGGGTGAGGATGAAGGGCATATGTTGTGAATTTGTACATATGTTGTGGTTTCAAATCTGAGGGTAGTCCATGTTTTCATGGGTAGTTTAGGCAGGCAGCTGTGCCTTTATGATGTGGGATATTACTGTAGAGGCTGATGATATCCATACTTGCAAGTATTACTTTATCCCTGCCACTGGTGATAACAGCTCTCTTGAATGGTCTTGCTCTTTCACTTGTCAGGTTATCCTTTCTACTGCATGCATCCTATCTATTACTTATCTGATATCATACCCTGTTTTTAGTATATCATGTATCCTGGAGTTTTACACAAGTCTTTGTTCTACCTGCTGGTTAGCTGTGCTGTGTCTCCTTTTTCCTTTCAGAGACCTGGGGTACAGTGGTACCCCAAAGCTTGTCTGTGTCCCTCCCAGCTATACAGTTGGTCCAAAAAAGATATCATCATAACAATCTGCAATTTATTTATCCTCACAAAATCCCTGTGTAATTGAGAAACATTATGGTCCCCATTTTTTATAAACAGGGAACAGTAATGTAGAGAGATAAAGATAATATAGATACCTAAGTGAGATTTTTTTTTCCTAAGGTGTTTCCATCTTGACCAGCAGTTATCATTTTCCCATTGTGTAAGCATCTCAAAAACAGGAATTAATCTACATTGAAGAATTTGTTTATCCATAAGTAGCATTTTGAATACAAAAATTAAATGTGTAGTAGAGGTACTTGAATAACTCCTTAAAATATGGCCACATAATTCTTTGTTACTAAGAATGGCCCATTAAATAACATATAATATGCAAGGGATTTGTTTTCTGAGTAGAAGATGCGATCTCATGTTTTAAGAAATTCTGTAATATTAGAGATGCTTCTCTTCTGCAGCTTTGTTTTAGGTGCTGGCTTATGTACCTTTTTTATTACTGCCAAAACAGTCCCTGAGCCTGTCTCTATGCTTCTGGATCAGTTGTACTGTTTACCTGACCTGCAGTAAAATTATCAACAGATTCAGTGGACTGGTTATAAATGAGGGTTGAGTGGGCCCATTATTTTTTACTTTGAGTTTGTTACATGGTAATAAAGAAACATAGATTGCCTACAGACCATTAGGTATTTGGTTTCTTTTTTTCCCCATGCCACCAAATAGCTTGGTGGTATACTGGCTTTATACCTCTGCAGACTTAGTTTACAGCATACTGAGGTCACAAATCTGGAACACAAAACATAGTTCTTAATGTAAATAAATTAACACAAACAATTCTAAAGCAGTATAACATGATTAATAAGCACAGCAGTAAAGCTTAGCACTTCTTGTCTGTAACTGCCAAAGTGCTTAGAAACGTGTGCAAGCAGCTGAGAAACGGGGATGATTCAGTGACCTTCCAACATCACGCAGTGAACTAGTGGCAGATCTACATCTAAATGCAGGTCTCCTCAGCCAGTTGACCATACTGTCTCTCAGCATGCTCAATAATTTCTTCTGTACAAAATAGGCAAGGTGATTTCAGGTGAAGAATCATGCATTGGCAGACTTGTATAGGGAAGCTGGCACAAGGACAAGAACTGGTACTGTTCCACGCACCGGAGGGAAATGTTCATCCCTGACACTTTTTTTAGGTAGAAAAAATGGTTCTTCTGTGAGTGCTGTACAAATATATATTTGCTATCAGTATGCATGTGCGTCTAATCCACTTGAGTCAGAAGCTTTTTGTCAGTAAAACCCATTGGCAATGCATACAGTATGTGTCCTTGTGCTTTCAACTAAGGGCATAAAAGGCAGGGCTTCTACAACCTCCTTCCATTCCTTGTCAGAAAACCTAACTATCATTTCCTGAACCTTAAATTATGTATTCTGTTGATTGTACCAGTTCAAGGTAAATTTCAGTCACCCTGTATATTTATGTGTTCTCATCCATCCTTCCCAATCTCTCCTGTCAATACTTATCAGTAGAGCAGCAAGGCACCAGGGAAATTTGTATGAAAATAGCAGTGGACTTATCCTTTATGATGTTGAAACAGGGTCTTGATATTTAAGAACGCATCTATGGAAGCAATCATTAGCTCTACATCAGGGGTTTTAAACCTTTTTTAAGGAGTGTACCCCTTCTGGCTACACTTCTGGCAGAGCGGGGGTGGGGGGCTTGCACACAGCAGCAGCGTGGGGTGGTGGTGGCAGCTGCATGCAAGCTCCCCCACCACTGCATCTGGCCAGCTGGCTGGGTGGCAGCTGGGCAGCCCACAGAGGGGACCTGCTGCTCTTGTCCTCCTGGCCCTGGTCCTGGGAGGCGGCGGTGCGGAGTGGTAGATGGTGGTGCTCTGTCTCCACCCATCCACGTGTACCCCCTAGTCTTTTTCCAGGTACCCCCAAGGGTACGCATACTCCCGGTTGACAAATCCTGCTCTAGATAAACTGAAATATTTAAAATGAAGTTCAATTTGACGGCACTGGAATCCAACAAACTTTACTTCTTAAATAGAGATTATTGTATCCGTCTGATTGGCTGGATCATGGTTCACCCCATAATTCATAAAACTGTTAATTGATCTAGATAGTCTAATAACTATGATTCCTTTTTTCTTTTGTGTTCTTTCTATACTAGCGGCTCTGATTAGAGGGAATCGCAAGAACTGTGCTCAATTTTCTGGTTCTCTTGACTGGCTGATCAGCAGATTAGAAAGACTAGAAGCCTCCTCTGGTATGTTCCTCAGTAATCTATTCACTTGTTTTTGCCAGTTTTTTTTTTCTTATGCAGAATTGACAACGTGTTTATTTAATCGTATTATTTTGAAGATTTTTATCTTTTCCCTTGTGTAGGGTCATGTGTGCTTATGAGAGGATGGGTTGACGTCATGAAACAGTGTTATCCTTTGATCAACATTGGAATTCAGTGTTTCTTTTTGAGCCTCTCTGATTTGGAATTTAATGTGGACTAAAAATAAATATCTGAGCCTTGTCATCTGGTTATATTATCATTGCCATTCTGCAATATGAGCAAACAAGATCTTAATCTAAACTGTTACTTTTCCATTTGCGTTTCTTTTTAAGATGCCCTTTTCATCATCTAAATCTCCAGTGCCAGTACCTAGCCCTTCCTTTCAAAATCTGCATTTGTTCTAGAAATTCAGTCAAACTAAAGATAATAGTAGATGCCTTATATTTATATTGTGTGTCTCTCTCAAATTGTGGTGGTCTTTTAAGTATGTTCATGCTCTCTCTGTGTGTTTGTGCAGTACATGTGCACACACTTACGTAACTATATAACATTTAACAAATTATACACATTATAGCTGGAGTCAAAATATAGCCATTGCTCCTGTGAAAAGTGCTTCTGTTACTTCTAATAAATACAGCTTATCTAAAAGTTTGCCTTTCTGTTATCAGTTGCCTTCTGTCTCTGTCTTGAAAGACTGCATTGGGTTAGTAGTGATATGGAGAAGAGTGCCACCTTCTGAGTCATTAATGCACTTCTTATAATATTTGAATTTTCCTTGAAGATTTCCTATCTAGTGACTGATTTAGTTTCACTTAGCTTGGATATAAGATTTTCTAAAGGCTTAAAGAATTGTCACATTTCTCACATGATGATAAAACCTTTGTTATTGTATTGACTCAGATTAGAGGCATTCCCAAGGTTTATAGACTTCAAATCACTCATCCAGCAACTCAAAAACACTGGTGAATTTATATTACTGCAGAAAGTTATACAGAAATCACTGTCTTTATGTGTAAAGATTTTTCAGTTGAGCCGTATGAAAAGTAGCTTTCTTCTGAAAAGACACACTCGGTGATACACGAACTACTTCAAAATGGTTCGGCACATGAATAGCTTCTAATCAGCTTGATATGACAGCAAACCTCAGTTTTTAAAGTAGCACTTGTAGTGTATGATACTTTCAGAAGTTTTATGTTGTTTTCCAGGATAACATGCACATTAAATTGTAAGGCTGTCAGATGGCTCAAACTATTGTATCCCCATTTTTTTGTGTCAAAAGGCATTCATTTTTCAGTCTTTTGACTTTGAATATTTGGATAGTTGTTTCTGTCAGCATATTTAAAGTCAAATGAAGTCTTATTTTAAATCTGATGTTGAGTTGTTTTGATATTTTAACTATTTTTCATATCCTCAAAATATCTTGGTCTTGGTTTGCATATTTTACATGGACTTAAACAATATGTGTAGAATTTTTACTAGGTAAGCAATTTGTTTCCATTGTTATGGGCAGCTTGATATAAGCTAAAGTAAATATTTCAAGGTAAGTATTTTATACGTTTAATATGCCCTGGGACTATGGGGACCACTTTAAAAGATACATATTTCACTTGCAAAATGTAGCTCCCACTGATTTTTTAAAAAAATAGGATTTGCTTATTATCAAGCTACTTTTTTTAAAAGTTTGATAGAAAAATGTCTCATTTGTTGCCAATTTCTACCTTGTTCAGTTTGATTCAGTAGATGGATGATAGACAAACACCATAAAAATTTTTTTTTGTGCAATGTATCCTATGCCAGTGGTTGGAAGTGAGTTTGTTCATTTAGGAACTGATGATTAAGTTCTCTTTTAGGTTGTTGCTGTAAAAACTGACACTTCTGTTTTAAATATACATTTTTAAATTTTGCTGCTGCTTACCCTGATAATGTGCCAGGATGATTTTGTTCCGGTAGCTGGGTGGTAGCATCCAGGGACTGGGATTTTGGGAGGAGTCGCTAAGTCCATTTAAGATAGAGTTTTGACTGTTTTCCATGGATGGTTTTCATGTTGACAGCCACAATATTGAACTGAAGGGAAATGCTTTGTTTATATGACAAAATAAATAACAAATACTATAACCTTTCTATTTCACTTGTAGTTTTATCCATGGTGCACTGGATCAGATAAAACTATTTATCATAAGAAAATAATGTATACCTTAATATCCACTCTCTTTATAGTAATTTATTTCACACTTAGTTGTGCACAAGCCTAGTTCCATGTGCAAAATGGAACAAAAAATGTTTGATCTGAGATAATGAGTTTTTTAATGAATAACTTGAAAGAATCAGGTGAATTGAGAAAGCTGTATGAGAAGTAATTGGTGTAATAGGTCTTTGTCTTGTCTTATAACACTTTTTTGCATGCATTAGTCTATTAAATTATCTCACAAATAGGAGTGCAGAGTTTAATTTAAATATCTCTTCTCCCTGACAAAGGTGTTTGATGTGCTTATTTCAACTCCTTTAATTAAGAAAGGGATAAAACGATTAAAAACAAATTGAAAAAGATATACACATGGCAGTGCTTTTTTACCTTGAAACTTCTGAGCTTTTTGGACTCTTTCCCCTGCCATTGCTTAAACTGTCTCTGCCCACATTTCCTCCCATCACCAAAGCACAAGTTGCACCAATGGCAAAAGCCATTCATCATTAGCAAAGGAAAGCCACAACTACTTTTGGTCTGCAGCTTTTGACAAGTTGTTTAGAAATTTTATTTTTAAACTGATAATAGAAAAAAAGAGAAGCCTAGCCCTTTGGAAAAAGTAGTAGTATATGACCATGCAATTAAAGACTGTCATAATATCTATGCACCAGAGATCTGCACTGAACTGTATTGGAACTGTATTGGAAACAAATTCTGATACTTTCTAACTTTTGGATAACTTCATAATATTAACCTTTTTAACTTAGGCTTTTGGGTGCAATTTGGCTTCAAAAGCATGATAGTTCAATGAGACAAGATACATGTTTAGAAAGTAGATTAACCCTCATGCATAAGGATTTACTCCAAACAATCATGGGGTTGGGTTATGAAGAAACGTTTTATGTATAGGTTATATTACAGTTGTCTATAACAGGATTATTGCGCTTAAACACCTGAAACATCTGAGTATTGACATGTACTTATTTAATCGATTATGGCATTTTTTGTGTGATGGTCTTATTTTAGCACATATAATGGCATATTGAGGTTTATTTTTATGGCACTCCATATGTGTTGAGCAGTAGCAGGGAGATCAGCAATAGTATTGAGGCAGTGTAATACTGAGAGGTGTGTAGGGCCTATAAGTTAATTCAGAATAGGAAGTAAATTGGCACAACACTCGGTGGGTGTGTCTACATATGCATATTAATGCCTGCAAATAAACTCCAGGGCTTATCGCTTTGGAGTTTATTGCTTCCAGGTGCATGTCTTTGTTGACTTGACATGTGCCAGATCAACACTTGGGATCTCAATATTGTGCTGTTAGACAGGAGAGCATGATACAGAATTATGCACGCACAAGCTACACATATGACACTATGGGTCCACACACATGCGCACATATACACAAACATGCACTTTGGTCATGGCTGTGTGTCTTAACACTAGGGGGCACTTGGGGTTACTTGGGGTTGCTTGGTGCCAGGGTTACTTGGATCACTTGGCCCTGGGGTTACTTGGGGTCACCTGGTGCTGGGGTGGAAACGAGGGAAAAAGCCAGGGCTGGAGACGACAGAGCAGGCAGTGGAGCTGGGGGATGAAACTCAGGCAGCACCGAGGAGGAACAGTGGAGCAAGAGGTAAAGGGGTGGTGGGGCAGAAGTGAAGGGTGGTAAAAGTCAGAGTATAGAGGAGAGCAGAGCTGGGGTTTTGGAGGTGGCAGAGAGGGAGCCAAGATGGCAGAGGCAGAGAGAAAGAGAGAATGAAGGTCAGAGAGGCAGAGAGCAGAGATTGGAGCAGGGCTAGGAAGACAGTAAGACAAAAACCCAACTCAGGGTTCCAAAATAAGTGTTTTATTAAACAGGCAACACACTACACAGCCCCACAAAGTTATTAGTTCCCATACACATGCACAAATACTCACACTTCCCACCCCTGTACAATGGTAGCAGGAGAGAAAAGGCTTAATGTAGGGATTTGAGGTCCAAATATGTAGAGCAAGAGTTCAGGTCCCTTGCTTGGAGGAAGAAGGTGGGTGATAGCTACCTATTCCCAGGCTGAGAGTTGATCCTTGATGGCCAGTCAGGGTCTTCTCTAGCAAGGTGTTGTCCAGAGGGGGGTCACTGGCAGGGCCTCTGTGTGGATAGGTGGTGTGGCGTAGTGCTGGTCCAGATTGAGAGGGTGTCCCAAGGAGGTCACACTCTACCACCCCTGGGGGTGGGCTACCTGTGTCTCCTGTGGGAAGCACATTCCCAGGCAAGGGCCAGTACTGCTCAGATGCATATGTGGAGATCCAGGTGTCCTCATTGTCTGGTGGGACACAATGGTGGGGTTGCTGATTTCTGTAGGGTCTTTGTCTTCCAAATGTTGGGTTCCCGTAGGTTCTTTATCTTTCAAATGCTGGGTTTTGTCTCTGTTCCTAGGTGAGGTCTGTGTTTCCTGGGTGAGTCAATTCAAGGCAATGGTCGGGTCATTGAGTT